TTTTTTTTTTTTTCTCAACTCTGACAATCTGTTTTTCAGTCTTTTTCTAAATCTATCACGATGATTTTGACGCAATTAAACGGGGAAAAAAGATAAAGATTGTTATTTTAAAAAAAGAGCAGAAGGCAAGGTACACGGTGATTCAGTAGAGCCTCGAGTTTTCGCGACACTAAAGGCTAAAGAGCTTCGCGGGAAAGATTCTCCTAGAGCTGAGCGGATCCTCTCCAGGCGGAATCGAAGCCACACGCGGTGTCCGAGTCCGAGTCGTTCTGCTGCGACTTGGGCGCGGCGGAACTGATGACTGTTGTGGAAGTTGGTCGACGATGCATCGACTGACTTGACCGAGAAACCTTGCCCTGAAGCAGCGGAGTGGTTGGTTGACTGGCAGCCTGGTGATTCCGCGACGATCCGAAATCCTGCGCCCGCCGGCTCCTCCTTTTCTTGATCGGTGCGTACTTTGGCGGTGGCATCATCTTCTGATCCAGCTTCACGCGAAAATCAAAAGGAACATTTCAGTTTCCGAGAGAAACGTTGTACAACCATTGGACGAAGTTTTGCGAACGTTGGGCTGTATTTTGTTGGGAGATTTTATGATATAATGAAATAATAAAATAATTTAAAAAAATATATAAAGAAAACTATAGAAAAGAAAATTCTTCGTCAAGTATTGCACTCCTCAATTAAAATAATTTACCATATTTTCATTTTTTTGCTAAGCTTAAATGTTTAAAAGTTTCGTGTGTTTAAGACGATATAAAACACCACAATGCAGAGAATTTTAATCAAAGAGAAAAGTACACTGGAACAAAATGATAGAAAATTAATGATCTTCTGTGGAAAGCGATCGTTAATATGAAACGAGTTTGGCGATTTCGTCGCATAATATTCACGTCGCAACGAGGGCTCAGGAAGGGGACGGAGGGATACAGTGGTTGCGAATGCTCGTCCAAGGGTTGTATAATTATAGAGGGTTAAGCAAAGGAGGCCGGGTGTGTCGGGTAATTTTCGAGAACGCGATCTCGTCCCTTTTTCTCTCCTCTACCTGCACATTATCCGCCGACCCCCAGTTCTTGTGTATCTTCTCGTTGTTGCTGCTGCTGGCGCTGCTGCTAGTTGCCACACCCAGGAACTGGCTGAACGCTTCCGTCGTACGTTTCACGCGTACGTTCAGCGAGCCAATACGCAGGAAACCAAGATCTTTCTCTGCGTGTTCAATCAATCATCGCGTTACCACGTGTTGCAATCATCGTAGTTGGTAAACGCTTGCCGCGCGTATTGGTACGTTCCTCGTTGCGTTTAACTTCGTTTCTAAATTACGCTTCCTAAGCCAACTGTGCGTCGTGCTACTGGCAACCGAAGCGATGACAGTGTGCATCTTTCGCACTGGTTGCTCTTTGCAACGCCCATCGTGTTTGAAATTCGTTTCGTGTCGCATGCATCTACCGGTGAAGGGGGCTACGCTCGAGTTTAGGGATGATCGAAGAGCTGAAGCTATCTTTTTGTAGACGGGGTTCCTTTTTTTTTGGCATTTGCAGTGGCAAAGAGTATTGGCACACTATTATTACTAGCAATACCAACCACGTGAAAAATATTCGACAGCAAAAGGTAGAGTTTGACAGAAAGGTGGTTCGTTGGAAAATAAGGGTATGTGCAAATATTCCTTGTAGCGACTGTAGATAGATAAGCGTTCGAATAGAACAGGTTCAGGTCTTCTGAATTATATAGAGCAAGATTTTCAGATGATGTCTAAAAGGGAAGTTGTATAGAAATATGCAGACCTGCGCGAGGGATAAATGAATTATAAGGGATGATTGTACCAATTCGAAAGTAGAGATTTCTCTATATGAATGGAGAAGTTTTCCATGGATTGTTGTACATGGATTTTTGAGACTTAAATTATCTAATTTCACCCTCCGTTTCAGACACGAAATAATCCTGCACTGAACACGTTCTCAAGTAGAAATTGCAAACGCTACGCAACCAATGCGAATTCTAATTACTTTTTCACTTTTCTCATTTTCGGTAGGAAGAATAACACTGCGAATAGAAAGAAATAGCAGCGTACCAAGTTGAAAGAGAAACTAACAATGACAGACACACTGTACCGAAAACAATTTG